AGTGAACTTAGGTGTGTAAAGTACACAGTGAAAGGTGTGAGGTGTGATCAACAGTAACTATCAGTGAACTTAGTGTAAAGTACACAAGGTGTGATTACCAGTACCTATCAGTGAACTAAGTGTAAAATACACTAGGTGTGATTATCAGTACTTATCAGTGAACTTAGTGTAAAGTACACTAGGTGTGATTATCAGTACCTATCAGTGAACTTAGTGTAAAGTACACTAGGTGTGATTATCAGTACCTATCAGTGAACTTAGTGTAAAGTACACAAGGTGTGATCAACAGTAACTATCAGTGAACTTAGTGTAAAGTACACAAGGTGTGATCAACAGTACCTATCAGTGAACTTAGTGTAAAGTACACAAGGTGTGATCAACAGTACCTAACAGTGAACTTAGTGTAAAGTACACAAGGTGTGATTACCAGTACCTATCAGTGAACTAAGTGTAAAGTACACAAGGTGTGATTATCAGTACTTATCAGTGAATTTAGTGTAAAGTACACAAGGTGTGATCAACAGTACCTATCAGTGAACTTAGTGTAAAGTACACAAGGTTTGATTACCAGTACCTATCAGTGAACTTAGTGTAAAGTACACTAGGTGTGATTATCAGTACCTATCAGTGAACTTAGTTTAAAGTACAATAGGTGTGATTATCAGTATACTATAGATTGTATACAAATCAGTTTATCAATAGCTATATTTGTCATTGTATACTAGGTTTGATTTATCGTTTTTGTAAACTTTCTTTTATGCCAAATTTTATAATCTCATGGAATTTTTAAACATCATTTCAATGAATTTAATTTATTTCTCCGTTTCCTTCATCTACATGTTCTCTAACATTTGCTTCATTTGCCCATCCTATCATCTATTTACCTTCATCTACTTTGTATGCGAGTGTCGTGACTGTTTTCATTTAAGTATGGTACAGACAGCTGATAGCCCAAATGCACGTATGTTTTGTTCATTGATTGACGATCATGGGTAATGATTTAAATCAATATCGAGCGGCTATCGGTTGTTTTTACCATTGCACTCATGCTGTAACAATGTCACAACATTTTTTCTTCCATCTTTATTTTGAGAATTTTTACAACAAATGCAGGTCTATCGCGAAATTAATCGGGAACACACTTTTATTAGCTATTAATGTGTTGTTGTCTGGTTTAACAGATACTTTTTGTTTTCTATTAATTCTTCAGCTACTTCTTCTAACCTGTAATGACGTCCATCCTAATCCCGGTCCCCCAACACAAAATACCTGTACTGATATATCTATTTTTCATCTCAACATTCGTAGCATAAGAAATAAATTAAGTCAGTTAGAATATTTAGCATCCGAATATGATATTGTCTGTGTCGTTGAGACTCACCTCGATCAATCCATAGCAGACTCTCATGTTCTCCTAGTTGGTTATGATCTATACCGTAAAGATCGGGGAAGTCCGGGAAGGGGGGGGGGGGGTTTATACATCCAGTTTCCTGTGCACTCGTCGTAGAGCTGATTTAGAATTCGGGGAGGGCGAAGTTATTTGGATAGAGATCTAGGGAAGAAAGACCTTTTATGCACTTTATACAGACTTCCAAACACTGTAAACACTTTCTATTGTATATATATAAACATACTGTATACTGTTGCTTGTAATGATGAAAATGTCTGTGATAATTGTATATACATATATACTTCAAATGTTGTTAATAACCTGGTAACCATGATGTGTGTACAGTATCAGTTCTAACATACACCTGGCAACCATGGTGTGTGTACAGTATCAGTTCTAACATACACCTGGCAACCATGGTGTGTGTACATTGTCAGTTCTAACATACACCTGGCAACCATGGTGTGTGTACAGTATCAGTTCTAACATACACCTGGTTACCATAGTGTGTGTACATTGTCAGGTCTTTGTTGGAAATAGTAAGGCTGTTATTAAGACTACGAATGCTGGTGTGCCTCAAGGCTCCTTTACTTTAGGTCCTTTACTGTTTATTATATACATAAATGATATTACTGATAGCATTGAAAGCCTTTCAAAATTATTTGTAGACGATACCACCTCTTTATTATGTTCGGATAATTCTCTGATGACCATCGAAACTAAAATCAATAACGATCTGGTAAAAATTCAAAATTGGGCAGAAAAATGGCTAGTTAAATTTAACCCACTAAAAACAGAGGCTTTACTCATTTCCAACACAGAATACGATTATAATATAGACGTAACCCTTAATAATGTACGTGTTGAATTTGTAGACCATCACAAACACCTGGGAGTAATATTAAATGAAAACTGTAAATTGACTAACACATTGAAAATGTATGTACTGATGTTTCTAAACAGTTAAATGTTCTTCGTAAGCTTAAATTTATACTTAATAGACAAACTTTAGATAAGATTTACAAAGTTTTTATTCTACTATTGTTTGAGTATAGCTGTGAAGATTGGGTCGGGTGCACTCTCAGCGATGCAAACTTGAAAAACTACAGTTAGAAGCTGCCAGGATCATAACCGGTCTACCATCTTACGCCAGTATGGATTCCCTTTATCTCGAAAGTGGGCTAGAACCATTGTCAGAAAGTCGAACTCGAAGGAAGTTATTTAACAAAATTACTAACAATCTAACACCAAGTTACTTGTCTCTCTTACTACCACCGTTAGTTTCCGAAAATTCATCTTACAATGTTCGCAATGCACATAATTTTTCGTTACCAAATTTCCGACTGCAATTAACAAACTCATCATTCTTCCCCTCCACTATTAGGCTCTGGAATAAGCTCGATTTAGAAATAAGGCAAATTATATCATACCAATCTTTTGAAAAATCCCTTAAACGCAACATAACTGTACCAAACTTCTATTATTTCGGAGATAGAAAAAAAATACTCCACGTTAGACTACGAAATCATGCCAGCACTCTAAACAATGACCTCTATAGATTTAATTTAATCAATTATCGACACTGTCAATGTGGACACCCTATTGAAGACACCTTTCACTATTTCTTTGTCTGTAACAACTATGTTAATCAGAGACTTATTTTATTACGTGAATTAAATAGTTATATTAACCTGCATCTGCTCTTATATGGTAATGACAATCTATCTGCAAATGAAAATTTTAGAATAAGTCAAGTCACTCAACAGTACATTATACACTCTAATAGATTTTCTTCTCTTTCTTATATACTTTCTTACACCATTTACGTATAATATTGTCGCTATAACCAACATATATTACCGTAGATATATAACTATAATTAATGTACATAAATATAATTATTGGTCTCTCCCGGAATGAATGGCACCAAGGGTGTGTGTTCAGAAGGATTCGAAATGAAGAGGAGAAAGCACTTGAGCACGGGACGTGATGAACATTAGAAAAGTAAGAAAGCAATGTACAGTGAACAATTCATGGTGTTGTCCTGGTCTGGGAGAGACCATATTAACTATATTATCTTTAAAAACGTCAGATTACAATTGTGCTGTTAGCTCTCTCTCTCTCTCTCTCTCTCTCTCTCTCTCTCTCTCTCTCTCTCTCTCTCTCTCTCTCTCTGTGATACATTTGTCACTTAAACATGCCATCTTGTATATTTGTTTGTACAATAGTTTTCAGGAAAGGGCTTAATATAAGTTGGCCAACTTGTGACCAAATACCAATGTATATGTTGATACAATAAAATATGTTTAAATCAAATACAATAATGATCAAAAATCAAATTCAATAAAACTAGGTCAAAACATAGTCTAAATAAAGATTTATATATAGACTACTGAAAAAGCATAAGGTAAATAAAACCATGTGCTGCTGAAATAAACATGTTAAACAACAACGAAACCAACAGGTGTACTAACGAGTATCAAACACGGTAAACAACAACGGAACCAACAAGTGTACTGACGAGTATCAAACACGGTAAACAACAACGGAACAAACAGGTATACTAATGAACATCAAACACGTTAAACAACAACGGAACCAACAGGTAAACTGACGAGCTTCAAACACGGTAAACAACAACGAAACCAAAATGTATGCTAACGAGCATCAAATACGTCCATTATCAAACAACATCTGGAAATAGAATATCTCTCAATGAGATCATTATGGCGACCGAAAACTTCACAATCATTTTCATCGATCTGCCTCTCTAGAAAGTCATGCCTTTGCCATTCAGTTGCTAACATCTTGCACAAGAAAATCGTGATTTTGAGCACAAGCCGTTGTTTATTATCGAATCAACAGCGACATGCAAACACCATAAGTTGGAGATGCTGAACAGAAAATTTAAAATAGGGAGATTGAGATCATCTCGGCAATTATACAACTCGGTGAAGGCTGTTCCTGTTGATATCATTGAAGGAAAATATCGGGCAGATCTATATAAACAAATGTTCCCTCCTGATAACAATTTAGAAACACTTTTTTCAGTAAAAATTTAAAAAAGTAGGAAATCCTATTTTTGTGATAAAATATCAATATCCTAATTGATTTTACACAATGTCGGTTAAGAAGGATATATTTATTTTCTGACGATGTTTTAAATCTGTAGAATCGGGAAAAACCTAAGCGTCCTTTAAAACGTGTTTTGAAATACAAGGGATATATTATGAAGGCGCTTGAATAAAGTTCAACTGTTATTCGCAAACAAAAAAATATATTGAGAAGTTCCGACGAGGTATTACCTGTATGTATGATAGGTTTTTAAGTATACTCTTTTTCATCCTTACAATGTAAACTGCATACATAGGCAAGGAAATGTATAGTTTGCGGATCTTCTTAGGAGTTGAAATTCTTTTTATGTTTCAGTTAAATGTTAGAAAAAAACAATAAGAAAGCCATTGCTCCACATCATGACGAAGATGTATTGTTACATTTGATATAAACACGACGTTGAATGAATGCAGTCTTGTAGTCCGGATAACAAAAACTTGATGTCTTTCACATGAGGAGTATGTGTGCCTGAAATCCTATTTATACGCCAGGAGAATCAAAGTTGTGTAGATGGTGTGTCTTTGGCATCCAAATCGTACGGTACCATCATTGATACATTATACAGACCCGGTGATTCGGGTTTGTTAGCACTAGTATTTGTTTGACGGTCTACCTGTACACTTGTTGCCTCGAAGTATACCTGTTTTCCGGATGACGTGTTAGTAACTGTTAATTCCGTTACGGGTCCTATCACGGAAAAGATTAGCGGAAGTAGCAACAATGCATGCGCTAATCCAAGTACCATAACTAGAAACATCAACTTAAAAAAGCTCTTAAATATATATGAGGATGAAAATGCCATGATCATGATCCCGAAAATTGAGGAAACCGCGGCGTTGATTATAGGTCCACCAGAACGATCTAACGCTTTGTGTACACGTTCTTTTCTTGTGGCGCCATCTACAGTTATGTATGCATGGCAAATGTGCGCGCTGAAATCGGCAGAAAATCCTATACTCATGATAATCTCGATCATAGTAATAACACTCAGCGCAAGATCCCAGTAATACATGAATCCAAACACTCCCGCGCATATCATCACCATGGTACCAGTGACGCACACGACAAGTAACGGATGTGGCATAAACAGCACGGTAACCACAAACATGGCGGCTATGGCAATACCGACAGTTGTAAATGTTGTAGAAAAAACAGAAGTGTATTCATCAAAAAATATAAAAGGCCAAGAAAAACAAACTACCGGAAGTGGAGACTTGTCTGCTACTTCGCGCATTCGCAGCATCACGTTTGTTTTTTGTTCGGTCTCCGGTAAGTCGTTAGTCAAGATGAAAAACCTGGCACCAACAATACTCGTTTCGGCACTGCTAAGTACTACATCATTAGCGTGGTCGGTTCTGATTGTGAGAAAAGTTTTCAAACCGGCTATAAAGCTTGCCTCACTATCACCATTGTAAATTCCAGAACTCTTGTAATCCGTTAGCCAGTCTGACCTGAAATTTGAATTGATATCAACGTCAGCTCTAGCATTAGATAACAAGTCAGAAACACGACTCTGGGTAGTGACATCAGAATAGTTCTGTTTTGATGTGATGGTAAACCCTATGGCGAATTCCGAGGTGAAATGATTCTCGTCGAGTTTACTGTATGTATAATAGTACGAGTCCTCAGTCACCAAGTTACTGAAGAGCAGACCCTGCTTAAAATTCATCACCCCATAAACAGTTGCTGTCAAATAAGCAACAAAGAGTACTATAATCGCTATTTTTCCAGCTGGATTTTGAACAATGTATTGGAAAAGATATTTAGGATATTTTTCTAAAGGACTTTCATTGTCTTTTCGATTTTTCGGAGCCTGGCCCCCACAACAGAAAATATAACAGTTGGATTTCCCTTTCATTCGTAACTCCTCGCGGGGTTTTATTGGATGGCACGTCCCACAGTGGTCGTTTCGGACAATTCGTCTCTCGTTGATCACCATACACGGGATGAAGAATGTCAGTTGATTAATGTAGCAGAGGAACACAGCAACACCTAAAACATGCAATTTACTGATTTTTGATCAACTTGAGATGCACGGTAACATGTATGATGAATAAAAATAAATAAATAAAAGAGTGTTCAGAAACACTGAAATCTCGGATCAATGATCTATGTGATTTAGGTGGACCAAAGCGACTACTAGCTGCCTAGTTAATCGGGATGTCTTCTACCACTCTCAACTCAGCGGGAACAATGCAGAGAAACTGTTGATTGCCAAAACCAATAAAAGATGTCGACAAGCCCGGAATCTAAAATCATATAAATGAAACGTGTTACAGAAAAGTAAATGTCTGTCTCATTAGCTTAGATAACCCACATTCTTTGGTTCTCATACCACAGTCTCATTTGAAAACGTGACATTACTTACTTGGATTGACCAATTTTTTCATGTCGGAGGTCGTCGATGAAGTAAAAGACGCTTACTCTTTCAGTACACCTTGTCTTATTCCCCTTGTCCTTTTTCAGTCTCCGAGTAGAATGTTATTTTTTCATGTTTACCTTAGTTTTATAGACTTTGAATTTTGATTATGGTTATGTTGACATGGTGGCATTTTCTTGTTTTGATTTGGATATGGAAAAAGGTGCGAAATTCAGCTTTTATTTTCAAATTGTCATCTTTTCCCGCTTGTTTATTGTGTTTTTACTAATATATATCTGAAATGAAATTTGAAACCAAAATCGCAATACCTTCAAAAATCGAAGAAAAACATTAACACGAACAATGGGAATTACCTGCGTACACACAGAAGTTCCTGACACTGATAAAGGAAGCTGATGCACCAATGGCGAACGCCAGAAAGTCAGTGATGGATGTTATGGTAATGGCCACGCCCCCTGTCCTTATTGTCTTCTTGATCCGGTCCTCAATCGTCCCTTTCACTGAGCAGTCCGCCAGACAGGACATCAGAATAAACATGTCATCCAGACCAATACCTACAAATAAATGGCATACAGTCAATCTATGCAAAAGGTGATCCTTACAATAAAAACATGTTTTTGTTTGTATCTCTTCTAAATAAATTTGATTTATAAAAAAAAAAAAAAAAAAAACGGAAACAAGAGCTCGCAGATTGATCTTGATGCCCACAATTGTTTGATCTTTATATGCTCTTTGAAAGTTGCATCTTTTCCTTTCTTTTTTCTTCTCTAATTTGCTCTTAATGATAAGACATTTTAACATTTCTTTGCATAAAAAGCCATGATATTCTTTATCTGCCAATCCAAAATGGCCGCCTGGAAGTCATTTTTTTATCTTCTGATCAGTCCCAAAATCAAACGAGCACAAGGAGAGACAAAGGGAAACAAACGTATGAAAGTTGAGAGACATCCATTCAGTACTTCTTAAGAAACAGCAATAACAATCTTCAGTAAGCAAAATCCAAGATGGCCGCGTTTCGGCCATTTTTTTTCATCAGTCCCAAAATTAGATGGGCACAACTAGGGACAAAGGGGAATCTATGTATGATATTTAAGAAAGATCCATCCTGTACTTCTTAAGAAATAGCTATAACAAACTTTCAAAGTTTAAATACAACATAGCCGCCTGACAGTCATTTGTTTATTTGCTCAGACCATAAATCAAATGGACACAAGTAGGGATCAAAGGGAACCTACGTATGAATGATCCATCCATTACTTATCAAGAAATAGCGATAACAAACTTCATTGAAAAAATACAATAAGGCTGCTTGTCGGCCATCTAGTTCTTTTATCCGTCCCAAAATCAAACACACACAACTAGGGACCAAGGGACACCTACATATGAAATTTGAGAAAGATCAATCCAGTACTTCTCAAGAAATAGCGGTAACAATAGCTGTTTACGGACGGACGGATGACAGACCAGGACGCAGAGCGATTTGAATTGCAAACCATCTAATTATGGTAGGCTAAAACATATGCTTTCAAAAGTAACACCTTATGACTTACACTAAACAGAGATGTTTTCAAAAGTAACACCTTATGACTTACACTAAATAGAGATGTTTTTAAAAGTAACACCTTACGACTTACACTAAACAGAGATGTTTTCAAAAGTAACACCTTACGACTTACACTAAACAGAGATGTTTTTAATGTTATTATGCTAATGAACCATAACATTACATAGTATTTTTAATAAGCTCATCTCTGAATCCAATTCTTAAAAGGAGGACATATTCTGAGGCCAAATTAAATTCTAAGAGCGAAATAGCCTCTGGTGTAACAATTCATTAGAGAGTGCTCTTATATGAGTTTTCGTACCAAAAATATATTTCTGTCGGGCGTACGCCATTTGAGATACTGACACATAATGACAAGTAAGATACCAAGAATGGGCAGTATCTAGAAAGATAGGAAACTGATAGATATCCATAACGACTACATACTTATATGCATACAGGGAATAATCTTGAACAGAAATGTACGACTTTAGGTATGAGACAAACGTTTACCTTTTTCTACCTACCTATAATAAGGAAGGGCAGCGTTCCCACAAAATTGACAAACTTGACCCCAACAGCACTGACAAGGCCCAAGGCTCCAAAGATAGCGATACATGTTGCGAAAACACCCGCGCGACCCAAATTCTGCCTGTCTGAAACACAGTCTCCACCTGAAGTAACCAATCCAGCATAAGTCAACATTATGACGATAGTGAGAACAAAGTATAGGATATCCCCTGTGACACTTTTCTCTAATTCATCTTCTATCGATGATGATGTCGCAAAGGCAATGTCGACAAAGGAAGAGGAGAAAGCAGCCAGCACCTGTATATATCTCTTTTCCCAGGACTGGGACAGTGTCGATGCAGCTGTTGTGTCTTGACGCAGAAAGAAAGTTAATTTAATCATCCTAGCGGAAGTAAGGTAACCTCCTGATGATTGAACATCGCCAAATGTGAAAGCAAGATATTCAAAATTAAACAATGGATAGTTGATGTTGTTGGCTGTCAGAGCGTTGCGGAAGGCCTTACTGAAAATAGCGTCTCCTTCAACAACACAGTTTCCTCTTCGTAAAGCACAGATATGTGGGAAACCGAGAGTTGTTCCATCACTAGTTATGTTAACGTTGTCTATGATGTAGTTGTATATTCTTTCTATTTCATCCAGGTAACTTACAGTAAGAATATTTGATCCATCTTTTGTTTTAACAATGATTTCCGCAAACATTTGTTCCTTTATAATGTTTTTGAAGTAGAAGTTAGAGCCGGATTTGTCCTCTGTAAAGACAGCCTTGACAGCAGCACGTTCAGCCTTTGACGGGCTACTTTTGAGTGTATAGAGAGTTTCGATATCTGTCTCAATTTCTATCCAGAGCAATCCCATCCCAAATAGACAATTAATGGTCACACATCCAATCAATACATGCCATGGATATCTCGATACCAACACTCCATATTTCTCGAAGGGAATTCCAAGTTTTTCTTCCCACTTCTTATAATGTCTTGTAAAACTCATTTTCACCTGTAAAGTGGAATATATTCAGTTTGTCTTCATAAACAATTTTACATTAACAAAGCAGTCAGATCTTAATCTTCACATCGAACTATGTTTTGCTATACCATTTTATATGCCTTTCGTAATTGTTCTGAATATTTTTCTAATGGATCAAAGCCCTGAACCTAAACACCATCATGTCAGCACAAGTATGAAACTGGTTACAAGGTTAATTTAATTGACATGAGTGAACAGACAACAGAGATAATTTAATTGACGTAAGTGAACAGACAACAAAGTTAATTTAATTGACGTGAGTAAACAGACAACAGGGTTGATTTAATTGCCGTGAGTGAACAGACAACAGAGATAATTTAATTGACGTAAGTGAACAGACAACAGAGATAATTTAATTGACGTAAGTGAACAGACAACAAAGTTAATTTAATTGACGTGAGTGAACAGACAACAGGGTTTATTTAATTGCCGTGAGTGAACAGACAACATAGTTAATTTAATTGACGTAAGTGAACAGACAACAGAGTTAATTTAATTGACGTGAGTGGAAAGACAACAGAGTTAATTTAATTGACGTGAGTGAACAGTCAACATAGTTAATTTAATTGACATAAGTGAACAGACAACCTAGAACTTAATTCAGTAATTAAAAATATCAAAATCTGTAACAAAAACAATAACTAGAGGTGTAATGACTGTCTTTCTCATGTGACTCTAAGAAAGAGTTAATCAAATCACAGAATAAAAAACTCAAGGGATCAGTTACACTGTGGAGCTCATTACCCATGAGAACAGTACCTTGTAGATACGGGATAATCTAGATATCAGTATCGTAAGGAACAATAACTCATAAGAACAGTACCTGTAGGGACGAGATAATCTAGATATCAGTACTTTAGGGCACAATTACTCGTAAGAACAGTACCTGTAGGGACGAGAAAATCTAGATATTAGTATCGTAAGGAACAATAACTCATAAGAACAGTACCTGTAGGGACGAGAAAATCTAGATATCAGTACTGTAGGGAACAATTACTTATAAGAACAGTACCTGTAGGGACGAGAAAATCTAGATATCAGTACTGTAGGGAACAATTACTTATAAGAACAGTACCTGTAAGGACGAGAAAATCTAGATATCAGTACTGTAGGGAACAATTACTCATAAGAACAGTACCTGTAGGGACGAGATAATCTAGATATCAGTACTGTAGGGAACAATTACTTATAAGAACAGTACCTGTAGGGACGAGAAAATCTAGATATCAGTACTGTAGGGAACAATTACTCATCAGAACAGTACCTGTAGGGACGAGAAAATCTAGGTATCAGTACTGTAGGGAACGCTTATTTCTAAGAACAGTACCTGTAAGGACGAGATAATATATGGTATCAGTACTGTAGGGACACTTGCTCCGATTGCAAAATTGAATTTACCATATCGTAACCTTTATTTACCGTAGTGTATCGTAACCTTTGTTTACTGTAGTGTATCGTAACCTTTGTTTACCGTAGTGTATCGTCACCTTTGTTTACCGTAGTGTATCGTAACCTTTATTTACCGTAGTGTATCGTAACCTTTGTTTACCGTAGTGTATCGTAAACTTTGTTTACTGTAGTGTATCGTAACCTTTATTTACCGTAGTGTATCGTAACCTTTGTTTACCGTAGTGTATCGTAACCTTTGTTTACCGTAATGTATCGTAACCTTTATTTACCGTAGTGCATCGTAACCTTTATTTACCGTAGTGTATCGTAACCTTTGTTTACTGTAGTGTATCGTAACCTTTGTTTACTGTAGTGTATCGTAACCTTTAGTTACCGTAGTGTATCGTAACCTTTATTTACTGTAGTGTATCGTAACCTTTATTTACCGTAGTGTATCGTAACCTTTGTTTACTGTAGTGTATCGTAACCTTTGTTTACTGTAGTGTATCGTTACTGTAGTGCATCGTAACATTTATATACCGTAGTGCATCGTAACCTTTATTTACCGTAGTGTATCGTAACCTTTGTTTACTGTATTGTATCGTAACCTTTATTTAATGTAGTGTATCGTAACCTTTATTTACTGTAGTGTATCGTAACCTTTGTTTACTTTAGTGTATCGTTACTGTAGTGCATCGTAACCTTTATATACCGTAGTGTATCGTAACCTTTATATACCGTAGTGCATCGTAACCTTTATTTACCGTAGTGTATCGTCACCTTTGTTTACCGTAGTGTATCGTAACCTTTATTTACCGTAGTGTATCGTAACCTTTGTTTACTGTATTGTATCGTAACCTTTATTTAATGTAGTGTATCGTAACCTTTATATACCGTAGTGTATCGTAACCTTTGTTTACCGTAGTGTATCGTAGAATTTGTTTACCGTAGTGTATCGTAACCTTTATTTACTGTAGTGTATCGTCACCTTTGTTTACTGTAGTGTATCGTATCCTTTGTTTACCGTTGTGTATCGTAACCTTTGTTTACTGTAGTGTATCGCAACCTTTGTTTACCGTAGTGTATCGCAACCTTTATTTACTGTGGTGTATCGTAACCTTTGTTTACCGTAGTGTATCGTAACCTTTGTTTACCGTAGTGTATCGTAACTTTTGTTTACTGTAGTGTATCGTATCCTTTGTTTACTGTAGTGTATCGTAACCTTTGTTTACTGTAATGTATCGTAACCTTTGTTTACTGTAGTATATCGTAACCTTTATTTACCGTAATGTATCGTAACCTTTGTTTACCGTAGTGTATCGTTTCTTTTATTTACCGTAGTGTATCGTAACCTTTATTTACCGTAGTGTATCGTAACCTTTGTTTACCGTAGTGTATCGTAACCTTTATTTACTGTAGTGTATCGTCACCTTTATTTACCGTAGTGTATCGTAACCTTTGTTTACCGTAGTGTATCGTAACCTTTGTTTACCGTAGTGTATCGTAACCTTTATATACCTTAGTGTATCGTAACCTTTATTTACCGTAGTGTATCGTAACCTTTGTTTACCGTAGTGTATCGTAACCTTTATTTACTGTAGTGTATCGTAACCTTTGTTTACTGTAGTGTATCGTAACCTTTGTTTACTGTATTATATCGTAACCTTTATTTACCGTAGTGTATCGTAACCTTTATTTACTGTGGTGTATCGTAACGTTTGTTTACCGTAGTGTATCGTAACCTTTGTTTACTGTATTGTATCGTAACCTTTATTTAATGTAGTGTATCGTACCCTTTATTCACTGTAGTGTATCGTAACCTTTGTTTACTTTAGTGTATCGTTACTGTAGTGCATCGTAACCTTTATATACCGTAGTGTATCGTAACCTTTATATACCGTAGTGCATCGTAACCTTTATTTACCGTAGTGTATCGTCACCTTTGTTTACCGTAGTGTATCGTAACCTTTATTTACCGTAGTGTATCGTAACCTTTGTTTACTGTATTGTATCGTAACCTTTATTTAATGTAGTGTATCGTAACCTTTATATACCGTAGTGTATCGTAACCTTTGTTTACCGTAGTGTATCGTAACCTTTATTTACCGTAGTGTATCGTAACCTTTGTTTACCGTAGTGTATCGTCACCTTTGTTTACCGTAGTGTATCGTAACCTTTATTTACCGTAGTGTATCGTAACCTTTGTTTAACGTAGTGTATCGTAACCTTTATTTACTGTAGTGTATCGTCACCTTTATTTACTGTAGTGTATCGTAACCTTTGTTTACTGTAATGTATCGCAACCTTTGTTTACCGTAGTGTATCGAAACCTTTATTTACTCTGGTGTATCGTAACCTTTATTTACCGTAGTGTATCGTAACCTTTGTTTACCGTAGTGTATCGTAACCTTTATTTACCGTAGTGTATCGTAACCTTTGTTTATCGTAGTGTATCGTAACCTTTATTTACCGTAGTGTATCGTAAGCTTTGTTTACCGTAGTGTATCGTAACCTTTATTTACCGTAGTGTATCGTAACCTTTATTTACCGTAGTGTATCGTAACCTTTATATACCTTAGTGTATCGTAACCTTTATTTACCGTAGTGTATCGTAACCTTTGTTTAACGTAGTGTATCGTAACCTTTATTTACCGTAGTGTATCGTAACCTTTATATACCTTAGTGTATCGTAACCTTTATTTACCGTAGTGTATCGTAACCTTTGTTTAACGTAGTGTATCGTAACCTTTATTTACTGTAGTGTATCGTCACCTTTGTTTACTGTAGTGTATCGTAACCTTTGTTTACTGTAATGTATCGCAACCTTTGTTTACTGTAATGTATCGAAACCTTTATTTACTCTGGTGTATCGTAACCTTTATTTACCGTAATGTATCGTAACCTTTGTTTACCGTAGTGTATCGTAACCTTTATTTACCGTTGTGTATCGTAACCTTTGTTTACTGTAGTGTATCGTAACCTTTAGTAACTGTAGTGTATCGTAACTTTTTCGGGTCACATCTATAAACTTTATTAAGATATTAATAATTTACGAATTGAAAATATCTGAGCCATTTCCTTGATATTTTAGAGTTCGTTTGCTACCGATTTTAGTTTGTATGTATACTTAAAATTTACAAATGAACTTACCTGAGTTGTCAATCCTAGTTTAGTCCTTAAAACATAGAATGGTCCAATGTCGTGTTGTTGGTTAGATGGAAATATATTAAAGTGAGATGAAACTAATCCGAGTTACCATCCATTAAAAACCTGCCCACGTTGCAATATCTACTCTTGGGGAACCGTCAATAAAGACAACATTGCAATTAGTACAGTGTTATTGTGACCTGCGGCAGATCAGTAATGGCTGTGTCGGATGTAAGTTAACGGCCAATTCAATATCTTTGTGGTATCTAGATATACCTCATATATACTGTTAATGAAAGTGTAGCATTGTTAAATTTATTACAGCGTCTTATAAACTAAAATAATAGTTTCAGCGTGTGCTATTCTCAATAGTATATATTACTATTTATGTTACAACATTATAATTAAATATAATTAGTAATGTGAAT